CCAGTCTATTTTCAGGCTCTTGTGAGAACTTGAAAAATTCTCTTAACTTTGTTGTACAACTCCTTATATGCAGCCTAGAAAAAGTCGACAACATATTAGAAGATTTAATACATGCAGTCAGGCCGCCTTGAAATAAATCGAATTCTAGACACAACGCTGATTGGGTCGGATCTTTCCTGCACTGATGAGAGGTAATACCTCGAAACCGGGCTGCAGGTGATCTATTCGAATAATTTCAGCAAGGTCCTTCTGCTGGGTGAACGAGAAATATCAGTAAAACTAACCTCTATGCGGTATCTTGCATAAATGTCTCTCGGAGGTTGGGTCGGTCTCGTGTAGCCTGTGTTTTTTAAAGCGGTCGGAGGCTTGGCTCCCTTGCAACGTATGGCATTTATTATTTCGGGTTGATGGTTTATTCGTTATTCGTTCATGGGTTTGAGTTTTGTTGAAGCAGAATACAGTGTGGTACGTACTACGTAGTGAGTGATAGTGTTTTTTCGGGCATATTGAGTATTTATATTAAAAATTAATGGTAAAGTAATGATACCCAAGCATTTTTAGAAAAAAAAATCATAATGGCGATGAATGGCCTCAAATTTTATGGGGAGGCTAAGCCTTCTCTGCCTCCTCTGACGAGCCGCTGAAAAATATTCAAAATGTACTTGAGCTACAGTCAAATTTTTCAATTATTTTTTCGAGAAAATCTTGGGAAGATTTTGTAGATTGTTGTATACGTGTATTCAAAATATTACTTCAAATGTGAAATTAACACATTGGTGAAAAACATTACTTTTATCATTGCAAGTTTTTGAAAAAACTTCATGGCATAACGATCGCAGAATAGCGATTTTACTGATATTAACCATTTTGTGTAAAATGGTGAATGCACATAACCCAAATTCATAATCCGCCTCAATCCTGTTCAACTTTATATTAATTATGGAATTATCCATTGAAGAGATTGTTTGAAGGTGATTGAATATGTTTCATGATGAATTTCATAAGTTCGGACTTCCATTGTCTAATATTATATAATGCGATTTGAAATCCCTGTAGAAACCAGTAAAATATAAAAATTTTAAAAAATTATGTGACAGAATTGCCCGATACTTGATGAGAATACATAACGTATTCAAAATCAAAAAACACCTAGTAGTAAGACTTTCACTTATCAGTTTACAAACCCGCAACACGTGTTTTGTGTCCGAATCCTACCTATTGTGCCTAATATAACATAACAATTGTAATCATATGTCCTTCTACCTACTTAATGACTAATAATTTTACCAGAATTCAGGTATGAACTGATTAAAAACTCAAACATTTTGAAAGAAATTTTAACAACTCATTTAATGGAAATGTGAAGCAATTACCAAACGTAATTTGAATATCTAAAAAATGTAAAATCTGAAACTAAAATGAATTAATGAATGGGTTAACAATAGCGATATGTCAAATATAGGGGAAAGTCGGGTAAGTTGACGAAGTGGCTAAGATGACGAACGGCTAGTAATTTCTTCAAACGTAACAATGTAGGTTTTCTGCATGGTTCCGCCATCTCGCCAACATTAGGGGAATTAAGTTAGGAACGCAACCCTGCAACGCTGCGGAACAGTTTGCAGCTACAGTGGAAATGAGTGTACCTCGCATATCTGCTCTAACATAACCACTGTGTTAAATAAGCATCCTAACCAATTTTGAAGGTATGTTGACGAACTTCGTCATCTGAAATCTGAAAATCCAGTGCTTCTATTGTTTGACAATCATTCTTCCCACATTTCATAGCAAGGTATCAACCCGAGAATACCTACCACAGAGAAGCTACATTAACGTCGGATCCTTTGATGTTCGGTGTCCCAACTCCAAACCGAAGATTTTGAGTGATAGACAACCTGGTTCACTGAGAAAAATGACCTCTCAACGATATACACTAATAAAAATACATACTCTTACATTCTAGTATAGTACGTGGGCTCACTGTGAAATATAAAATTATAGTGTGAAGGGCATCTTACTCCATTCAATTTTTATATTGCTAATTGAACAACTTTCTCAGTAATAATAGAGAATATTCAACTATGTGGCCAATTTATTATTATTTATGATGAATTAGCTTTTAAGAAATAAATTGAAGATTATGAACATTTTATTAAAACAACGATAAAACTACCTACCTCATATTATGTTTGCTGAGTGCTCACAGACTAATGGAGACAACTAAGCCCGAGAATGACGTGAAACAACCAAGTCGACGCATGCGTCTACGAAAAAGGGACACAAAATGACCGTCTTTGTCGCTTCTCTGTGGTAGGTATTCTCGGGTATCAACTATTGTCGAGAAACGGAATAGTAATGACAGGATTTCCGCCACCAGAGACAACCAACGAGACTGTTAAGTTAATAGGAAAAATGGTTCTGTTGTGAAGCGATCGCTTCAATCAGGTCAACTATTCATCGATCCTTTTCTGGCACGTTATCTCTTAAGGAGAGTAGCTCTCTTTAAATATATATTTCTTCTTTCTCTTGTTCATTAGATTTGTAATTAAACTATTTCCCTTCAATAATTAAAAGCCACAGGGTGATGGCGCTACTATCGCGACATGGAGTGTAGCAACGTAAAAATCATCAGTGTTATTATTAGATTGACTGGTGCCTCAGGAAAAATCCTCACTTGTTTACTTTGTGGTAAATCTTTACAGAGCTAGGTAGGTACCTTTTGTAACTAACTACCTACCTCATATTATGTTTGCTCAGTGCTCACAAACTAATGAAGACAACTAAGCCCGAGAATGACGTGAGACAACCAAGTCGACGCATGCGTCTACAAGAAATGCGGTTAACAGTTTCAGAAAGTGCGGAATTGAACCATTCGATCCCTTCATTTTTGGCGATAAAGAATGTACCGCAGCTAAAACAACAGAGAAGGAGAATTATCTACAAGAAAATAATTTGAGATCTGTTTCAGATGAAAAAGAAAAACGGCAAATCCGACAAGCAGCTAGTGAATCACTAGATGATTCAGATGAAAATGATTTGGAGAGATCTGTTTCAGATAAAAAAAACTATAAGATTCGACAATTAGATATGGAATCATTACATGATTCAGTGGATGAAGAGCTGCCTCTTGCATATTCCGTAAACATAATTGTTAATGATTCTTCTCTTCCTTCACTACAGCAAGTAGTCTTGAGCACTTACAAAACGCCAAATAAAAATGAACCTTCCTACACAACAACATTGGCCATATCCAAAGTTAGTGAGACAATTTGTCTCAAAAATTCTAGTTCAAGCCGAATCTAAACCGAAACCATAACTTCATCCGAAATGTTTTACGCTACTCCCGGTCCAAGTGGAATCCAGAACCACGCCTCATCTAAAATCTCAACTGAAAGTTACGTTACAGAAACCGACAAAGAGAAGGGAAAAAAAGTTGTGTCACTCTTGGACATATGTGGCTTTTCCCAAAATATGAACGACCAGATAACAGAAAAGGTAGAAAAATGACTGCCAGTATTATCACTAGCACGCCTATGAAAAGACAGTTAGAAAATGAAAGGCAGAAGGAAGATAGATGCAAGACGAGTGAAAAAACAAAAATATTTTAAAAATCAGAATGAAACAAAAAACAAAAAGAAAAAAACATGTGAAACCAAAAATAAAAACGAAAAAATTATATTATGTCCTGCTTGCGATGAACGCTTCGAAGATCCACCTACAGAAGACTGGATTCAGTGCTCGCAATGCTTGAGATGGTGGCATGAATCTTGTACCGATTATTCCGGTGTACAAGCAACTTATGCTAATATACTTCAACTTACCCGCATATGTGCGTCATCTTACCCGAAGGTGGGCTCAAGTACATAATTTTTATTTTTGTAAACAAAACATTCAAGTTTTTTGGATACGATTTCATATGTTCTTGTGTCTTACATGTTTATTATAGTATATAAATAAACAATTTTGAAAATAATTCAAATGTCAAGCTGAAATTATTTTCTGTTAACGTAGTCAACTTACCCGACCCTCCTCTACACAAACAACAAAAACGAAATGAAAAGAAAATAACTGAGAAAAATGATGAAAGTTTAAAAAAATGAAAGGGAAGAAAAAATAAATGATTCCTAACCAAATTGCATCACGACGTTTCGATTTTTAGCGTACACAATCGCCAGCAGGTTCTGACCCTGTTTTGGAATCATGACAACGATCGCATGCTTCCAAGTTCTGGGGAAGTATCTGAGGGCCAACAGCCCATACTCAAGGGATTCCAAGAGCTCCTCCCACCTTTCGTTTCGGTGATCAATGATGGCCTGTTTGACTTGATTGGTCATCCTACTTGCCGCAATTTTGTCTTCTGGAAAAAGGGTTCGTTGATAGAACCTTCTCAAGCGATTTTCTCTCATATCAAGGTGGAGATGGCCGCTCAAAACGCATTATTTACAGAAAGCTAGAAATGCCCAACTGCCGCGTCGAGTTCGCCTGGAGAGCGAAATGCCTCGGGAGGGGCGCGCATCTCTCCGAGCTGGGTTGTGAAGATATCCCAATCCGTCGTAGATCTCATACGATAATCAGGAGAAGGAAGATTATCGCCCAGTACCAGTATAACTGGATTATGATCAGATACTACCCAGTTCTGTTGATTATCACATTAAATACTGACATCAAACTGCCATCTCCCACTGGTGATCAGGGTAAGTACTAAAAATTGTAGGTGACAAGAAAATGCCACTTCTGAGCTTCTATGGGCATTGTATTGTTCGACAATGCTGAAAATATTCAAAACTTATTTCTACTGTACGTCAGCGACATCTGTTGAAACTTCAAGGAAAAACAAAAATTCATTCTATGGAGGAGTAGAAAAATCCATGAAGAAATAGATGAACCTTTTTACCAACTGGTGAAGGAGTAAAACCAACTGGTAAAACTACATCAGTAAATATAACTGAGGAATGCTGAAATGGAAACATTCCTGCAAGTTTTATTCAAATAAAATCAACATGTTTGAGAGTTTGCGGTGTTTATTAATGAAATCGCGGTGGCAATAAATGATACTTTTGATTTTCCATCCCAAACAATCAAAAAGTCACACAATAATACATCAGAACAAAAGTCAACAGTGATGCAGTGTTGGGAAAACAAAACAATTTGCATTGTGAAAACGTGGTAGTTTGCGTTTTAAAAACGTGTATGATTACACTTAGCCTAGACCCTTCGGAATCTACTGTGTTGCCACGGCAGTTCTTGTCTTATTCTGTATAGGCAAAAACAATTTGAATTCAGCGGGTAGTTCATCTTCAGAATACAGTCTATCTGAGAAGTACACTCTTCTTATTCTGCAGTTTGCGTGAACTTGAACGCGCAATGTCTCCACATAGTTCGTACCATAGGCCCTTCTTGTGAAATCGGCTACATTGAACTGTATTTGATTCCATCCCTCGTCTAAACGCATTGGCATAGTGCAAATAAAGGGTTTCACCCTAGTTGTTGACTGGTAATTGCTGGCACGAAATCTCCGACGAACGTTTTTGTCGTCCAATATCTAAAATAGATCAAAAAGTTCATAAAAACCATATCAGAAGTTTGATCAATATGGTTAGATCAATAACTCACCTGGACTTCAAATGTAAAGTATTTCTTCAAATTCTTAACTATCATCACAAGATAAGGCAACTTGATTCCAAGAGTCTTTTTAGGATCTGCTGGGCACGTTATGTATGTAGTGCTTACGTTACAGCCGATGAGTTCCAAGACGAGGGACTGGATGTCTTCATCAGTTATTCTTTTTATATGGCCGTTTTTATATTTCTTGTCCCAGATTTGGAGAGGTTTGCTTCCAATGCTATACAATATCGATAGGAAACCACTTTGGAATGTATTTTTAAACATGGTTACAAATAATTTTTATTTTAACTGCCTCTCATGTCAACAAACAAAACTTCTAGGTTAGATTTTTAAAGATCAAACTAATCAAACTACAACTATACCACAGAATAGTATTTATTCTGTGACTGTAAGTACTTTGTTGTTCTGTGTTGAATGTTAAATGAACCGAACCAAGAATGAAACTAGGGACTGTTCTATGATTTGGTATCCCCTGGGCTGGTAATTCAGTGATGCTGAATTGAATTTTAAATTAGGCTCAGGTGAAATGTTCTCTACTTCTACCTAATCAAAATATCAATGTAATCGCATTCAAGTAGCTCTTCAATTTGTTGACAATTTTGTATTTGGAATCTAGTAACAAGAAAGATTCTTTTTTTTTTCAAATAATTGATTTCGTTCCTAGAAATCTCAAACAAAAAAAGAAATAAATTAATGGATGTAGCTGTTACTACGTGATAGGAAAACATAATGGAGAAAAGAGAATTGAAACTTTCTTTTTATTAATGTAGTTAGTTTAATGTATAAGTTTGAAAATGTCCTTATAGGACGAAACTGCAGTAACGATAGTCACAAATAAAAGTGGTATAAAACATAGAAACAAATTTCTCTAAACCTACTTTTTTTTTATTTTCAGAATTGAAAAAAGTCTTCAATTGGAACTCGATTTGAACTCAAATTTGAAGAGTTTTCCCCTGAACATAAGCAACACTCAACACTCGTCTGCAGTCATATTTTATTATCAATAATAATTGGAAATTATTTCTAAACTTTCCAAGTCCTGATTAACATTAGTAATAAAAACAATCCCTGGGAAACACCGCATACTAAGGAAAATAACGATATATTCAACCACTAAATAGCGCCAGAGGTACGTTTTTTGGTTGTATTATAAAGAAACGAAAGTTTCTTTGGTAATTCGAATCAGTTTTCATTGTTTCGTTGGGGATAGTGTACTTGATGTTATAAACATATTCTGAAGCTGAGACATGCGTCTTTTCTACTGCAGTATATTTTTTCGAAGTGACAGTTCAAGATGAATAGTCACCGAACTCCCCACCTTCGAACAATGTATAACAAATAAAAATAGAAAACTTAGGAATCACTAGTGACATTCATCCGTTGTTCAGTCCATAGATATAATAATAAATGAATAAGTATGTTATGATATCTACGATTCTGTCTAGCAATACTAATGAAACTTATGACTAGTCGGTAAACTGCTGTTATGTATTGTATCTTGGATAAAAAATGCACTATTTTTGTATTCTCGGGTATCTTTTGCCAAATTTAAGTATGTTCATAGTAGATACTTCTATAGACATGCTTTTCATTATCCATCAACCATCATTCAATTTTAAATACCAGATATTTGAACTTTTTCAGAAAATTCACAAAGATTAGACCAAATTTTCGAAATCTTGTTTCAACGATAGGACTTATTTACTATTTCCTAGACTATTTTAATGCAAAAAAGTTACTCCATTGGAGCAGAAACCAAATTTCCCAGTTGTACTACACATTTCTATATCATTCGTTATAGATATGAAAGTTCCTACCACTTCTTGGCGAAAAAATTCCAACGAAGAACTTCATAAATGAAATACAATTTTATTCGCCAAATCATCTATCTTACACACATATGTTCAACCTGAAAACTGTTTAGCCTTCGACTAACGACTCACCATCTGTCAGGAGATGTCATATTCTGATGATGCTGACTTGGTTAGCGAAACACGCGTCATTAGACAGCATGTTTTCAATGGATTCATTTCAAAGGTTCCAAATTTCGCTTATCAATTTGACCTTTCCTTTGTATTCCTTGAGTTTTAAAGAGCAGTCTAGCGGCAATGGTTTCCTAGAAACAAAAGTATTCTGTGATATTGTCAAAAATCATCAAAATGTCTGTCTTATAGAAATCAGAAATGACATATGCCAAAATTAAAAAATTGTCAGTTGAGAAATTTCTGTGAATTTTGTGGTAGATAACATTATCAAAACCTCAAGCGAATTCAAAACTTAACATCCGGTGATAATTGATAGTCGAAGTACTTACATTTAATTCATACAAAATGTCCAAGCCAAGAGTTTTAATTTTGGGTGGTAAGTATTGAAGGTAAACCCCGAAAATTCTGGAACTATACTGATTCATGCACAGGTTGTGGTTTCATTGGCCGCAATTTGGTTTCCTACTTAGTCAACAATGATCTCGTTAGTGCAATAAGGGTGGTAGACAAAGTTCCCCCTCAAGTGGCATGGCTCAATTCTACACATGCAGAAGCTTTCAACAGCAAAATCGTCGAATTCAAGAGCGCCAATCTTATCAATGCAGGTGAGAAGTGCAATCCCTGTCATAACAAATTTTTCGAATCGTCTCGTTTCAGAATCGTGTAAAAACGCTTTTCATTCTCCTGATGGAACCCCTTGGGACATCGTAGTCAATTGCGCAGGGGAAACGAAGTCTGGCCAGACTGACCCCGTCTACAATGAAGGTATTCTTAAACTTAGTATCAACTGTGCCAACGAGGCTTCTATGCAACGAGTCAAGCATTACGTCGAATTATCATCAGGTAATATGTTTTCATCTGAGAAGGTCCGTCACAAAGAGGATGGCCCGGTGGAGCCCTGGACTTATATCGCCAAATGGAAAAGACAGGTATGGGTTGCATTTCTATTAGTTATTCAATAAGGCTGTTGACCAAGGTCTTTTGTTCTCTATTTGGAATAATAATTACTTGTTTCCTTTGTGAGTTTTGTATAAATTAGTGAATGATTCACTGTGTGTTTAATCAGCAGATTGTTGTTAAATATAAACTGATATTATTAATATCAACTAGTAGTAACTTGATTGATTCAAAAATTCTGTGGCAAAATTAACTATGGTTTGATACCAGGGGGGGGGGTTGAAAAAAACTTATATTATTCATTTGTATATTCTTTTTTATAAATCTTTATAGTTTTTGTATATCAATACCTTCTTTATAGTTATTTCATAAAAAAAGATTTCTCAGTCTGTATAATCATTCTTATCATTTATCTAGGAATTGAGGGGTCATGTCAACAAGTTGAAATACACATTCTTTCAGGCATTAGCAGTCTATATATTTATTAATAAATTCACACACCATAATATTGATTGTTCAAAGTTATCTTTTCTGAATTTGCATCCACCTCCTTTGAACGTAGAAACAAAAGTTTTATTAAAAGGAGTATATTTTTAGCAGAGGTTAATTTTTAAGATAGAAATATTTTGGCTTTCTACTTCTCCATCTTTATACAAAACAGTAAGAGAATCATCCAGTTTATATCTGAAAGTTACTTCTTTACATGGTCTACACATCTTTGTATAGGGTTAATTTTTTGAAAATTAATTGCTTCCTTCCTTTCTTTGGAAGGTTTCCAAATTTTTTTGTAAAAAAGGGAGAAGTAGAAATCCAAAACCTTCCTTTTTCCCAAGAAATAAAATGCCTTCTCATTTACTTCCAACAAGAACTTACATCACCGATTTATAAATTTAGTCTGGGAGAAAAAAAGTGTTACTAGTCATGTAAATAAAGATGAGATTTGAACCTATGAAATAAATTGAAAAATTAATAAGACCAAACCTTAGTAATTTATCATTGAGATGAATTGCTTGGAAATATCAAATATTTGCATAGGACCAATTTTGTTCATCTCAACAAGGTCTATGAAAAAATGTTCACCAAGTTTTTTTTTTATTTATGGGGTACCAAGTTTTGAAAAAAAATCAGGTCTCTTTCTTCCTAAGAATTTTGAGCTTAAAATTCAAATAGAAAGTTTGCAAAAAGTTTCATGAAAATTCTTTTCAAATAAAATATGTTCATCTCTTTGAAAAACATCCCATTATTTACAATCAGTCTCTTCCCTTATTATTTCAAAAATGTTGATGAATTATGGAAATGTATAAAAACTATCAACAGAATCACACATTTTTTCAACCAAAAAAGTTGGATTGTCAGCAAATAAGTTCATTACTTCTTGAATATAAGATAAAGTAAATAATTTTGTCTAATTTCTTCTAAGAATTTTATATGTTGCAACCGGTTTTCATGTGAACTGACAAACAAATCCTTGACTTATCTAAAATCCTTAAATAAATGATTTAATAAACCAAAACCAGTCGTAACAAATAAAAATCTCAGTAGAAATTAGACAAAAGATATTTTCTTTGTCCTATATTCCATATGAATTTCTACAAAATAAACAGTTCATCAATAGAACAAGTTCATCACTTCTGTCCTTTCATCAAACTACTATTTATACCAATATTCAACCACATATCTTTTTACATACTTGAAGATGTCACAAATTATTTCTTCATAGTTTCCATAATAGTTTTAACAAACAAACTATTGTTTATAATATGATCAATGATATTGTTCCTTTATTTTGAGTATTTCAATATTAAATTCTACAAAAAGGATTTGAAGCTTTATATCTTCTATAAATTATCTGCGAGCGCTTTCGACAGTTGGTAGTACTGTCATCTTCTAGGCACCCTTCAAACTGAACTGGTCATCATGTTGTTGAAATTCGGTTACGGCGTTGTTGAGTTATTGCACTTTTCCTTAAATATAAAGTTTCAAAAAAACTTATTTACTCGTACACGAATCCAGTCTATATCTTTCAACAAATTGAACTAGACTACTACTGAATACAAACCATTATTCTCACCTCTACGATACGATACGATATACTCTTAACTTTGTTGTACAACTCCTTATATGCAGCCTAGAAAAAGTCGACAAAATATTAGAAGATTTAATACATGCAGTCAGGCCGCGTTGAAATAAATCGAATTCTAGACACAATGCTGATTGGGTCGGATCTTTTCTGCACTGATGAGAGGTAATACCTCGAAACCGGCTGCAGGTGATCTATTCGAATAATTTCAGCAAGGTCCTTCTGCTGGGTGAACGAGAAATATCAGTAAAACTAACCTCTGTGCGGTATCTTGCATAAATGTCTCTCGGGTATAATCTAATATCTGGTGTGGTATTAGCCGGGAAGTAGTTGTTTTCTGGCAGGCATTTATCAGAACCTACCATGTAAGTAGTTGGGAGAGATGAATATTTCGAGATTTTATTTCGAAATATTCAAATTCTCATATTAGAATATGTCAGAAATCATTATTTCCCTGGTCGATACCAGTATTATATGCGACAGATTGTGCGTTTTTTGCAGAGGAAATTCTGACAATTGCTTCTTATTTAGCCAGTAACAAGATTTTGCTTTGGGTGATAATCTGACAATTTGGTATTTGGACTTCAAATCTGGCCTTGGAGGTAACACAGAAGCAGAAAAATGATAAAAAACCATTGAAACTTTTTTTTATTTGCACTCAGAACTTTGTTCTCAATATGCCTAACAGTTCTTAGATTGTTTCCCAATGGAAACTATTCACTTACCTGATTACCCAGACTGCCAAACAACCTTGTCAGGTAAAAATATCGAAGAAAGGTTGGGAATTTTTTCATCAAATTGTTTTTTCTCTAGTTCCTTCGTTCAACCCAATTCCCAAGGGTGAACGTATGTAAAACCCCTTGGCAGTGACACGTAGGAGCACTATGCTTGAACTACTTCAATATGAGTTTAACAAAATTCGAAAGAGATTTATAAAATCCTTCATCGTCACATACGAAATCCATATTTGATTGTCTGTAAGCTACGACCGACGCATACAAATGCAGTATATTTTGCGTCGTCGAATAAAGTATAAAATATTCTAACTCGTATTTCAAGATAAAATCAAACAGGCAGACTGTCTACAAGACAGTTTGTTCTAATTCAGAGTGTACCTACAATGGCACACTTTGAAG